GACAAAAGATTACGTTTGGAGACGTTGTGAAGTAGCGGGATCATGGGAGTTGTTGTCTTCAATCAGGAGGTTTCTACCAGGAGCCCAAGCATCCGCAGAGGTCTCCTCCTCTCCAAATCAAACAGACCCGGTAATTAAACCGCTAAAAACACTGAATAAAGCAGTTTCACCTTGTCTGCCCACGCTGACAGACGGACGTCCCGGAGGGGCTGCGAGCCGAGCTGCTGCTACGTTAGCTCAGCTTGTTTCTCCTGATAACTTAAGAGTCCAGACGTCCGATGACTAAAAATCCTTTCAAATCTATAGTTAAAAAGCACCAAGATCTAAACAGTGGATGGTAAAAATGTGGCTTCAGACAGGATAAACAGTATTTGCATGCACAAAGAGGATACTGACAGTCGACCAGTAAAACGCAGCATTACCTGAATAAAAAGACAGATTTCTGAGTTTGAACATTAACTCAACTACATATAGAACATAGCTCTAGTGTATTTTAATGCAGAAATGTTATATATTATAGATTTAAGGCATTGTATCATGTCATAAGCATTATTATTGATGATACCAAAACTATCATTTGTGTGGTAGTTCCTTAACTACATACAACAGCACAAAAATGATGAGCAACTGTGCCAGTTAAATCAGTTTACACACACAGAGTATCTTATCCACAATTTAAAAGCAGAGCTGTCATACCGGCTTAAAGCTGCAGCACAATGGAATAACAATGGTATTGTAATAGAGGCACACAATCTCTATCACACACACACACAGAGACACACACAGACACACACAACCAGCTGAGCAGTCAGGCTCATGCACATTAATGTGGCATTACATTAACCAGATGTGTGAGGTCTGTGGGTATGTGCGTGTTTGAGTGGGTGTACACACATTTATGTGTCATTGATCTGTACCACTGTGTGTGTGTGAGTGTGTGTTTGTCCAATTTCCACTCAAATTAATGGTGCCTCTTTATTGGCCTTCTGCTAGAGTGGCACTGAATTACTTGGTGCTTCACTCTCGCACCTGGGACCCATTCGATGTTATAGCCGCAGCTAGCTGCTAACCTGGGACCCATTTGCTACAACAGTATAGTTAGCATTACAGATACCAGCGCTTTTTCTGCAGAGAATTCAGTGCTAACTAACACGGTTCTCAAGCCCACACCTGGGACCCACAGATTTACATCAGATATTGTTCAGTAATTGATGGCTGACAGTGGACACGTCTACAGGAAACTTTGAGATTGGTACCAAAGACTAAAGACTTATACTGGAAGTGATTCAGTGTAACAGCAACAGGCTGCATTGAATGGACACTTATTTGTATCACATAGGAGAACTTTGGTCACATGCAACACATTTTATTTCATTTCCTGCAACAAATGAACACTGTGTTTTGTCTGTTGGGAGTTACTATTGGAAACACTGTGAGGGAATTTATGTTAGACGAATGATATAGTGCTCCCCGTGCCATCTACAAACCTAAAGGAGGTCACAGGTCACACACATTGAGCTGTAAGTTATGACCATATTTGGGACACCAGGGTCTAGGTTGTTCCTTCAGAATTGGGTTGGCATCTACAGTGACTCCACTTGTGCTGCTGATCTCTATTCTCCTAGATCAAGCTTCATACTTCTTCAATTACGGGTCAATCATCTATTGGGCTTGGGCAATATGTTAGAAATATTCCAACCAGCCCCTTAGCAAAATAAAGGGACAAAAATCACCCAACAACCAGCAATCGATAGCGATATCTTTGTCCAGTCGCCCAACCCTATCATCTATCACAAGAATTCCTTCTCAAACACATTTATAAAAGTAAATAAAATCCTCAAAGCATTTTTTTTTCCTCACTGCATATTTACTTTATGTTGCAACATTTGTGTAAATTGTCTGACAAATCAGAAGGATTTCAAAGGACTACAGCCGACTGATGTCACCGTATGTCCTCTTTTCTCTTCCTGCATCGAACACAATCCAGAGTAATACGCAACAACTGTTTTTCTAATTATGAAGAAGAAAAGCTAGAGTATCTTTTACTGGTTACTTTCTGCATGTGACTGCCAAGCTAAGTCGCTCACTTCTCCTGGCCTCAGTGAACTCTGCTGCCATTGAAGCTGAGCTCAGATTAGCGCTGGCACAGCAGTGTTTGTGTGGTGATGACAGATTATTTTGTTGTTGTTTCAACTTCTACAATTATTTTGATCATCATACATCATAGCTAGCTACTTCTGGCAAGATGGCCCCCGTCTGTCACCCCCAACCAAGATGGCTGATGTCTTGAGTTGTTTGGTTTCTGCTCAGGGACAAACACACACACACACACACACACACACACACACACCATCAAACTACAAAATGCATGAACACATTAACTCTCTCATGCAGATCCAGAGTGGCGTGTGTTTATCCCCAGTAGGCTGTGTGTATTTTTTGTTTGCGTGTGTGCGTGCGTCCCATGTCCTCCTACTACATCCCAGGGGGTCTCTACCAGAGAACTTAAAAGGATTCTTTAGTCCATGTGTTTTAATTTAGCCCTCTCTTCAATAATAACCAGAAAGCTGTGGTCCCACCACTAACTTCATACACAACCACACACACAATAACACACACCAACACACAGATGAACATACACAGACCCCTGCATGCAAGTGCACACACATCCCGCTGAGCTGGGGGATTACTCTGCAATCTCAACCACTCTTTCTCCTGGGAAAAACATGTTTTATCATTTCATTTCATTTCTTTCTTCTGTGCTCGCTCCCTCCCTCCCTCCCCCTCCCTCTGCTTTCTCACTCAGCAACATGTAACCCTCCCCAGACTCCTGTGCTGAAATCACAGGCCACATCCAGCGCTCTGACAGGAGCCCTGCGCTTTTGGCGGTGTGACTCAGTGTGTGTGTGTGTTCGTGTGATGTGTGTGTTTACGTGTGGGTCAGGGAGAGAGGCAAGAAAAAATATAAAAGCATAAACTGGTTTCCCCTTTTTGTAAAAGAAAGCAATTACATGTAAGGTAGGTTACATCATGGCTTACTTACTGCGTCAGTGTTGGGTTAAACTGATACGAGGCTAACAAGGCTAACAAGGCTAACAAGGCTAAAGCTTTACATTGAAAGTACAGTTAAACACTCATATTGAGCCTCGGAGCACTCCTCTTGTTTCGGTTAACATTATTTGTGTTTCCAATATCTCCTGGAAATTCCGGTTATAACAGGATCCTCCAGTGTTTAAGCTGTACAGCGTAACATGATTGCGCTTTGTGTCGCCTCTCTCTACCACTCTACATATTTTACTTTTACTCTTCTGCAGAATATCTAATAAAGGCAAACAAAAACCTTGCCTGCGTTACTGCATCTCCAAACCCTTCTCTGGGAGACCTAAGACCAATGACTCTGGTGGGATTGGATGTCACGCCTGCGGGTGAATAAGAGGCAGCTGAGGCAGGGGTCTTACCATCTACATTACACAGTCTCTGGAAACACTATCTTCACCAGTTTAAACAAAGCCCTCCCCCTCTCTCCCTATTTCTTCATCCCTCTATCAAAAGTAAACACACACACTCTCACATGCTAACAGGCAGACTGCCTTGCAGTAGCAAGAAAGTGTGTGTGCGTGTGTGTGTGTGTGTGTTGGCTTGTAATAAGCGAGCGTTTGGATTAATCTGTAGGAACCAGATGCCCCCGCCGCGTTCCTTTCAGCCCCTCCATTAATTACACCAGTACTAATAACGGCTTTTGTGTGTGTGCGTGTGCGTGCA